CCTCCCCCCGCCGCCGCCGTGGTTCGGGCGCTGCTTTTTCCTTCCGTGGTTAAACGCCGATTTTCTAACGCGGAAAAAACCCGTTTTGCCGAGCCTCCGTGATCAGCTAACGCCCGAAGGAAGGACCCCTTACAGACCGACGCGTGTAAGTCGCCGGGAAGGACAGCCCATCCATTCCCACTCAGAGATGCATCGGGACCATTTTTGTTTTCAGGCCGAGCGTTGCATTTCAAACAAATCGGGAAGCAAAATTTAAGACGCGCTAATCGTCCCCTTGGCAACTCCGCACGGTCCCTTACGGAGGGAGGACAGCCCCGTCCCCAGCGCGCCATCCATCTCCTCCAGCCCGTCACACAAGAAATCCACATCAGGTATTCCTGTCACAAGAGATCAAGAAGGCTGTTCTGTCGCTGTGGAAGTAAAGTACACTCTAAAGCGATTTTGATGGAAAATGCCATATAAAGCCATATAACTTAATTTGCTGCTGCCCAGATCTGAGGTTTCTCTCTGTCCTTCAGATTGTATCCCACGGATCAGTCCGGATTACATGGTTATTTACCTTCCTGCAAAGACGACTACATCTATTCGAACTAAATCAGTAAGTCAGACCAGTATTCTTGTGCAAAACTTTTTATTAAAAAGAGAAAGGGTCCTCTACAACAAAAGGTAGGTCCAACGCTGATCATAAAATTTAACTTTTCAAAGATTGCAACAGACCAGATGTGAAATTTTGATTGTGACAAAGACTACATCTCATGTTTAGGAAGTCTTATTCTTGCACCTGAAAACACAGCCAACACATATGTCAATTATGACCTCTTAACTATAAAAAACACTTCTCTGTTGAGTTACCAGTAGATTATCAAGATCAAGTTTCAACATGCATCATCCATGATGAAGCTGTAAATAATCCCAAATAATGTTAATAAAATGCTAAGATTCTTATAGAACCTTTCACATTTCACAGCTTTAACAGTTTTCCTTTTCAATTCTCATGAACATAAAAAGGTATGTCCCCTAAATATATAAAAACTCGTATTAAAAAAAAATATTTCTCTCAGGTGACATAAAAAGAACTTCAAAGAACCCCATAGTCTGGCCTTAGAATTAATACTTGAAAGATATCTTTACTGGGGGGAAAAAAAAGAATTAGGGCATTACCTTTTCTTTCACTCTGTATGCAGGTGTGTATTATGGACATCAGTTTACAGCAAATATCTTGCCCTAGTGACTACTTTCCTGCTTACCAAAACCAAACAGGCATTGGGTAAGAAATGGGAGCAAGCTTACAGCTAAGCTTGTTCAGTTACCCATCCTGGAGCATCAATAATGAGTGACAGCTGTCAGAATCGGAGGTACCTGACATTTCTTCTGCAGTACCAGGACCAAGCTGTAGGCCTCTCTCCCACACGCTGATAACAGACTAATGAGTATCATTAAGAATGAACCTGACATTTCCCAGTAGTTCAAGGTGACCAGTACTTCAAAGGGATACTGGAGTCATTTCATGCAAAAAGTTGTCTGTTCACATAAATAGCCTCTGCATCAGTACCATATACTAGGCATGGTCCTAAAATATCTAAACTATTCACAGACAAAGTCTGATTTGGAATTAAGTTGGTGATTTCCATGCGGTCTTTGGTAGGATCGTTGCTTAGCCAGGCACTTACTACAGACTGGTTAATGGTATTGTGGGAAAAATAGGCAGTACTTCTTCCTCCTGAAAGAAGGAGAGGGAAGTAAGTTCCAGTTTATATATTCTCAGAATTTGGAGAAACATAGTAGGTATGGGACAGACATAATGGAAATACTGTTTTACATTTCAGTCAGTTTTCAGATTAGTTAACAAATGTTGTTGTCTCTCTGGTAAACAAAGGAAAAAATAGCTTAAAAGGAAAAAAAAAAATCAAGTACTTGAAGTGATTACAGAAGTCTGCTACCAGCTCTGTTCTGTTAAGACAAATAGGTCAGTACAGCTATGAACTCATCTTGCTGAACAGTGTAAGCGTCTACAAGTTTTTCCAGCCAGAGACTAAAGCAAGGAGAGACCTAAGAACAAAAGTCTATTTATACAGCATCTTGCTATATTTGGGGCATCAGCTTTGCTTTAATAACACTTAGTCCCTACCATCCCTTCTCCCTACCATCCCTTCTCCCTGCTTACTCTGCAGGAAGTGATATACCTGGATTTGACTTCGAATTTTTTCCACATAACATTTTACATTCAAACTGAAGTCTCACAGTTTGAGAACTATCATTCAGCACAAAATTAACAAGAGGCTGAAGTGGTGCTAAAGGGTTTATATTTAATATACCTGAAAACAGGCAGGGCACAACTGGAATTGGTTATCCTATTGCCTTCCTATACAGAACTGAGCTTTGAATGGCAACTTCAAGGCCAAAGGCAGCAGATGACACCTGAAAGTTTCCCCACTGTTTACAGTCTGAAGTGGCAAGCAATTAAGCAGCCTTTGTGACTAGAATGTGAAAATAAATGTTTATATTAAGTCAGTATCGTATCTTTAATTAAAATCCTGCCACGATACAAAGGGATCCAGTTTCATTCATTGCAAGTTCCAATTATGACCTTGAATAGTAGATTCATAATTCCACTATCCTATTAATGTATCAATTATTTTGGTATTATAACATTTTGTTTATCTCCCTCAGACACTCAGATAGTAATGTGTCATTTAGGTTGCCTTCATGTCTTTTCTATATACAGATGATTTTTAAGCGAACACCATCTATCTTTGAAATAGTAGACATGCCCCTTCACACATTGGACACAGTACAGCACGTTCCAAAAAACTCACACAACTGTTTGCCTTATAAGTAGTTTTCCTGAAGTGCCTATCGGGGCTTTCTTTCTAAGAAAAGAAACCAGCTTTAACATTTTTGTGTAAGGATTGTCTTATTAATTGGGTCATGTGAGAACATCGACTTAATTATGTGACGAGCTGACAAATTCAGTGCAGACTGATTTCAAACATCCTTACCTTGATGAAGAAAAGATGGTTTTTCAGATATGTCTGTGGAAGTATCCCAGTGCCAAAGAGATCCATCTTCAGAACACGTAAATAAGTGATCGGGGTTGGAGGGATGGAAGTGAACTTCCCACACTGGAAGTATCAAACCAAAACCAAACAAACCCACTTCAGAACAAGTATCAAGTACTTCGCTCAGTGCACTTTGGCTAATATGATATGGACATGCACTTACAAGCACCCAGGCCCCCACCAAAACCTTCCATTCCTAAGAGTGTGTGGGTAGGAGACCCAAAACCCCACCCTTAGTTACTTACTGCAGTTTTCCCTCCCTGGGGGCAGGGAAGAAAAAAAAAGAAAAAAAAGAGAGGAGGAGAAAAAAGAGAGGAGGAGAAAAAAGAGAGGAGGAGAAAAAAGAGAGGAGGAAAAAAAGAGAGGAAAAAGGAAAAAAGAAGAGAGACACTCTATTTTGTTGCATTTTCAGTACTGTGAAAATTGTCAAAGGTTAAAATCTTAATCTGAATTCAGGCATTCTGAATACTTTCTCATGCCATCTTCCCTGTTATTAAGTTTCAACCTGCACACAGCATGCACTCCTTCCCAGCGCACACATTATCATTTTGTGTCTAAACACCACAACTGTGGAAAAGATATTTAAGTCAGTAAAACTTAACATCTCAAGAAATATTTTTACTCATTAAATATAATTGTGGCATCAAGTCAAGACATTTTCAGTACAAAATGAATTGCTATCTTGTTCATATAAAGCTACCAGGAAAGTGAGCTGTTTCAGCACTGTGGAGGCACGCAATGGATCTGTACTACCTTCAGTTTCCCCTTCTTCCTCACGTTTTCAAGTTTGTTAATAATTGCATTCTTGCTTTACTCTACCTGCATACCACAGCATCAATTTCTATGACTATTAATATACCTGCCCTTCTAGAAACACAGCCATTCTGATTAAATGCATCTAATGACTCATTAAAGAACTGCTTACTAATTCTAGTTCTAGTTTAGACAGAGTTGGCTTTTAGACAAGAACAGTCTCATATAGAGAGAAAGAACAAACTGAAGCCAACGGGATGAAGACACATTAAGTAGCAACTATATGATTGTTTTCTAGCATAGCTACAATACCTAATTTTTTTTACAGAAATTAGAAACTTTTCTAAAATGCCACTTTCTTCTCCCCCCTCCGATTCAGATACTTACTTTCTGCTTCATGAGCATTTAGCAGGGACACTGGCATAGTACCCTGCCTGATGTCCCATATACTCAGCATCCCATCCTGGCCTCCTGTGGCCACAATATGCTGCTGATTGGGATGCCTGTCCACACAGTGCAGTGGAACTCTATCACCTGTCCTGCAAAGGAGGAGAAGAAAAAAAAAGAAAAAAAACCCCCACAAACAAACATGAATTCTTTATCAGCTTCTATTTTCTCCTTCTTAATCCCTAAGAGCACTGACAAACAAGGTAACGGTATTGACTGCAGCATCTGGTCACTACATGCTGAAGCCGCATGACACCTACTGGAAATTAGAGGTATGGCAGTAACATGAAGTTACAATTGGATGAGCATCAGGTTCTGTGCCCTATGGTATACAGGCATCTACACGGTATCTGACAGCTTTACAGGAGTGACAAAACCTTGCATACAGATAATACTCTAAGTATACCTACAAAAATAAGAATGTTACTCTGAAATTCACGTTATAATTACAGTTTCAACATATACTAAGAGTTACAAAAGGAGACTGGAAAAACCAGGGACCTCAACCACAGCTTATTAACAGCAATGGCAATTATTCCACAGACAACAAGAGGATTTGAATCTAGTTCAGTTTGTTTTCTCACAATACCATATAAGGCACAAAATTATCATTCAAATGCATTTCAAATGCCAGAAACTTTGTATTAGGCCTGTGGAGAAATACAGATGTAAAGTATATTTAATTAGGAAAAAAGAGTTTTGGGTTGAGGATTGGGGTTTTTTTTCTGAAAAAAGAGCAAGTGTACAGGTATAATAGTCCTTCAAGAGTCAAATCATAAAACAGACCACCAAAATACAGCGCTCAGCCAACACAGTAATTCAGCCATCAAGCAGAGTCTGCTTTTCACTATGTAAATACCAAAGAAGTTAAAAACCTTCTAAAAAAAAAAAAAATCATTTATCATCCCATTGTCAAGAAGGTATCAGGAAAGATGTGTATCAGATTATATAAAGTAGCACATGCTTCTCAGTAAATATGTAAAAAAATGAAGGTCTTACAAAGAAAATATTTGAGATGGCTCATTTCTTTGCTGTCTGAGGTCCCATATTTTTAACTGTCCAATTGAATTTACTGTCAAGATCTCAGTTGTGCGAAGGAAAGTCACTGCGTGGAGCGTACTGCTGTCTGCATTGTCTGCAAGAAAGATAAGGAAAGTATTCAGGTAAACCTACAGAATGCTAGTCTCCATTTAATTACAACAAAATAACTTTTTAGAAAACATAACACAGCTGCTTAAACATGGTTACAACCTCTCTGCATTTTCAGGGGCAGAGACAGACCAGCGTCATGTGAAATTTTAAGTGTTGCAAGGGTACCCTGTGAAAAAGGAGCCCTTGCTTCCTGTATCAAACACTAGTGAGACAACTCTGTAAGAAGCTACATTTAGTTAGTTCTAGTGCTTACAGAACTGCTTGTTGATGTGTAAGATTTCTTTCTATGGTTTCTAAGAAAAGGAATCAATTTAGCCAGGTCCATGGTTTTCATAAGAGTTTTCTTTATATGCTCTGCATCTACTGACACGAAGCAAGCTACAGAGCTTTTCATAATGCAGTTGTTTTTTTGAACACAAGAAGCAGTAACTCTGGCTGAGAACATTAAGCAGTTGTATACAGAAGCACTTAATTCACCAACTTTCTTTAGACCTTTTCCAAGAACTGTCAATGTGATATCCATCCCTGTCCCTAAAGCCAAACAAGAATTATGCTTTGCTTGTTAATCTTAATGACTAAATGGCAAAGCTGTTTTTTCAGGTCCTTTCCTCCAGTGCTTCTTTTGTTCAGAATAATTTACAACATCAAACACTTCACAGCATTGAGGTGAAACTTTTGAGGCTTTAGGAGAGAACAGACACCATGGTCTTATAATTTGATTCTGTTATTTTATATAAACTTTATCTTGATTATGATGGGGTAACATTGTTAAGTCTACTTTCACATCAAGCCTTTTATGCATGGTATAAGTCCACACTGAACATGCAGATCAATTTTCTGCTGCATAAGATGCAAACCTTTTCTGATATTGAGACAAGCTACATTGATGATTGATGCCTGGTTACAGATATTTGAATGAGTTTTCTTTTCTGCCTACTATTTAAATTTAAAAACTGAGTGGAAGAAAAAAAAAACCACCCACCAAAACACCTTTAAAAAGCAATGTTAGATTACTGAACACCAGAGTTCTAAACGATTTAAAAATTTTGTGACAGAGTAACAGTAAGTGATTCAGCAATGATACATCTTTTGGCTCCAAAAGATTTTTACATAATCTCTAACTTTGGAGATTTCTTCCTACCACGATTGACTATAAACATATCAACTTTGCATTATACTCTTAAATCCATTAAACAGTAACAAAACTAGCAAGGTACTCCTTTACAAATATTTCACGAGGTACAAGAGTTCTGTCTTCATGTTAAAACATGTTGAGGGTTCAGCTCATTGCCTGGGAAATACCAAGATGTCATTGAACTGGGAACCAGTACAAAGGATTGCTTACACTACAGAACTTGAAAGCATCTTCCAAGATGTTCTCTCCAGCTTTTACTTTAAAACAATCTCTAGTCAATGAGTTCGTGCTAGTCCCTTCCACGTAACTCCAGGTAAGCTTCACTTACCAGGTCGTAAGTGTGATTGACTTATTTATGGACCATTGCTATTTTAACGTTTCTCTTCCCGTTTCCAAAAGGACATTTCTCAACTAATTCACATGTGATTTCTTAAATGTTTATGCGCCAGCAAATCTCAATGCAAAGTCTTACTGCAGCATGACACTGGCTGATGCTACCACTACAAAGTAAGCATTTTTTCATAGTACTATCAAGTGAGCACTAAGAAAACTAACAACTCGCATCCAGCACATTATTAATTCTGTATGTAAGCATCTGAGCAATTGCCCAGAGAAAAATATAGATTTTTTTTTTTTGTGGACATCTGCTTCCTGTGAGTCAGCAAAACATTCTACTTTATTAAACTTGTACCAGAATGCTCTGTGTTAGTATCTGTATATAAGTAAAAAATTAAAAATAAAATAATCCTTTTAAACTAGTTAATGTTCTCACCCCTCAAAGGGGTAGTTACTGTGTTTTGTGGGCATGTGGTAATAAAATCTGCCTCATGCCCTGCTTTTTTTTTTTTCCTAATGTAAAGGCATAGAAAAGTTTCCTACAGGAATTCTCAAGGAGCTTGACTAAAGGACTGTATGCAATTAATAGGATTTATCTTGTGTGTGTATATACAGCCGTGCACACATAAGTACCCCCTCTAGAAATCCCAGAGCACTTCCTTCCTTAATTGGCTTATCACTGTGCAAATTCCTTCATCCTTTAGAGGCAAGATTTTGTTTGAGGAGAAACACAGGTGCTGTGTCAAACTGAAGTTTCAGGGAGAAAGTCCCAGTTTAATAGTGCCACTATCAAACATGCTGTTACTGTCCTTTAAATAATTTCTGCTTTTTAGTTTCATTTCCAACAGATGCTACAAACTTGCATTCTATTTCCATGAGATGAGCCTGATAGAAGAGTTGAGAATAAACAAGTTTTGACACCTTTCACAAACATCTACCTCTATCACATGATCTATTACTCTAGGAAATATGGAGCTTTTTCACTAAGGGAGGAATGATCACTGCAAGCCATGATATCTGGCAGAAGAACAGGGTACAACCAGTGGGTTTTGGTTCTTGGCATTCCTTGAGACACAGAGAAATAGGTGGTTTTGAATATGGACACCATGAGGGTTAACCTTAGTACAAATAGTGAATTGAAATGACCATTTCACTGACCTCCAGTTACGAAGAACTTGGGACACAATACTTGAAATCTAACTGCATTTCCTGTATACTGTCATAGCATTTAACAATTCTAGATGAAACAGAAGCCTACAGAGGATGTTAGGCTTTGAAGTTCTCTATCAGTTAAAACATTAACTTGCAAATATCTGAATGAATATAGAAATACATCTGAAATACACTTTAGGTATCTGAAGTCAGGAGGAATAGAGGAATAACCTGGAGCAAACACATTCAACTTGGAATATTTAATTGAATTCTCAACTGACTTTTTTTTTTTTTTTTTTTTTGGTTATCATTCAAGAAGCTAAAAAACAACCCAACCACTCCAGACTAAACTAATTTGAACAGTTATCTTGACATACCTATAGTTCTTACTGCATCCTTTTGGTCAGCTCTGAAGAAATTTATTCTACCATCCTCTCCAACAGTGACAATTTCTGGGTTGTTGCACATGACTCCGGTACATGCTGCTCCACCACAAGATGTGTCTTGATCCACGTGATAATGGGCTTTCTCCCACCGCTGGTTGGCAGATAAAGTCTAAGTAGTAACCAGACATGAAATTCTGCTCGTAAGTAATGATCCTGATAGACCAAAGCTTCCAGAATACTCACAAAACCAGAAACAAGCTCCAGGAAAGCCACACTACCTCACAGGAATGAGAATCTCCTACACAAATGAGAATCAGAGATCTAAATTTTCCTCAAGTCTTGAGCACACAACCCTTCAATGAAACATTGATTATTTCTTCTCTGAACCACCTTTTCACATGAGCTAGAAATCAGAAAGAACACTATTTATGAGCTGTGAAATGCCTTTCACTAGACTTATCCCTTCAACCTTAACCCAGGCCAAGGGAAAAGAGCTGAGGCCTTTACAAAATATAAGGTCAGGTTTAGATTTTGACTGCAAGGAATTTAGTTTATTTTAGGTACCACATCAAACTATTAACAGATATTAGTCTTTATTGTGTCATTGTGAATATATAAAAAAGTCATTATCCATTTATTTTCAGTGATTTATAATCAAAGCAAAAGACTACAGAGTTTACATATCTTCCCTCACATAACATTTGTGAGAAGAAATTCAACATGAGTCATTTAGTTCAGGAATGCAAAAACTCTAATAAGGCAGGTACAAGTCCATTAATATCCACTCCCCCAAAACAATCTAAACTCTTAAAGTATGTTTTCAGTAAATAGACTATTTGGTTACAGGTATATACTAACAGATACCCCAGTCTGGCTCTGGAATCTAATCTATGTAGTATGTATGCAAAATGCTTTTTTCTTTCCTTGTTTGTACAAAGCGAAAGCTTTTTCTAACGGACTTCACAAAAGCTGATTTTGGTGTGCACATATTTCTTGTTCTAGTAGTTTTGAGAAATCTTATGCTAAGATCAAAGTGACCCGTGTTACACAGAATAGCAGCTTAAAGGCAGTGCAAGTTACTTACCTGGTTATTTTGATGATGACGGAATACAGTTACAGTTCCTGTTGATGAGGCAACCACGATTCTCTCTTGATCCAAAAACTAAAGAGAGAGAATAAGCATGCTATTAGTTGATGTCAGTACCAAGATGATAATTTTGATTTTAGAGTAACCTAAATTATTGGTAGGTATAGTAAAAAAAAAAAACCCAAACCCACAAACTGATACTGGTTGGTTTTGCCCATCTTCCTGAGAATTTTTCTTTGTCAATCTCAGCATTTTGACAGCTTGCTATCACTTAATTTCTCTTAAGTGACAAGCCCTTAAAAAATACAGACCTGTTCAACACAGCCATTTTACCTGCATGTCCATAACATCACCGTTGTGCCTGATGTCACACAGCAGCTGAGGCTCGCCTTGATAATCACCATTGAGGCCCACATTTCCAAGATCTCCAACAGACCAAATGGAGATCCTGTTATCCTGTACGGAAATGACACCACCAGTTTTACTCGAAAATGCTTTTGGAAGTATCTAACAATAAGGCAGCCTAGATGTCACGGCCTTCTCGCTACAGCCGGGGAAAGCAAACGGGCTGCAGGCCGCGCACCGCTCCGGAGGCC